GCAGTACTGACTGACCTTGTCCTTACGCTGGCTGGATGGGACCTTGCCGACGATACAATGCAACGCCACTTCAGTGGATTCATGATAGGTTTTCAATAAAATATAGCTGACGGATCAGTGCGCCCGTTTCCACATAACCAGGAGGGGCCGTCTAAAAGTATTTCTCCGTCCAGGTCGATGACAGTGAGGATGGTGCAGCGGGCGGAGCATGCCGGCTTCTCGGCCATCGTGCTCACCGTGGACTCCCAGCTCTTCGGTAGGAAGCTAGCCGACGCCAGGAACGGATTTCAGAGGCCCTCACACCTCAGGTGATACATATCGTTTCAGCAATCGCGAATGCAAAGTCCGGAGTGGGATAGATAAGAGGAGTTTGTCAGAGGTGGCAATTGACCTTGACACCTAGGAGAAGCTGGAGCAATATAGCGCAGTCCGATTACCAATCATAACCCTCACATCGTACGACGAACACCGAAAAGAAAGTCACCCTTGGTCAGTGTTTACCAGCTCAATTTCCCCAGCCCCGTTATCGAATCATAGCGTCATGAACAAGCATACTGACTGTCAACCTGTAAAAAAGGTCGGCATTGCTGCTTGGCTTCGCGTTGTCTCACGTCCCATTGCGATTTGCTGGATCTCTCAGAGTGGGCAACTTCACATCGGACACCGACCAGGCGGCCCATCGAGGGGACAATGGCTATCTGCAGACCTTGTTCGACCCGTCGCTAACGTGGGACGACCTCAGCTGGCTGTACAGCGTCACTCGGCTGCCGGTGCTTGTCAAGGGTGTGATGACGCCAGAGGATGCCGTCGCCGCCGCCGACCGCGGCGCCAGCGGCGTCATCGTCTCCAACCACGGCGGCCGCCAGCTGGACGGTTGTATTGCGACGGTGGACGCGCTGGGCCCGGTGGTGGCCGCCGTCGGTCACCGCTGTCCCGTCTTCATGGACGGTGGCGTGCGGCGCGGCACCGACGCGCTCAAGGCGCTGGCACTGGGCGCGCGCATGGTGTTCGTGGGCCGACCGCTGCTCTGGGGCCTTGCGCACGACGGACAACGCGGCGCCCGGCTGGTGCTGCAGCTGCTGCACAGCGAGCTCCGACTGGCCATGGGACTCTGCGGTGAGCTATAGCACAGGACTGGAGGAGAGCTCATTACGGGACTCTGTAATGAGCTATGGCACAGGACTGGAGGGGAGCAGGTTATGGGCTCTGTAATATTACGTAGCAAAGGACTGGAGGAGAACTGGCCATAAGACTCTGTAATGAGCTTTAGCACAGCATTGGAGGGCACCGGCTATGTAAATCTGCGATGAGCTGTAGCACACCGGTGGAGGGGAGCTGGCCATGGTATTTTGGTAATCTATAACACAGAGATGGAGGGGAGGTAGCCATGGGACTCTGCAGGGGACTATAGCACGTGACTGGAGCTGACTGGAACTTTGGGTATCTGGAGCTCGTGGGGTCCACAGGTCCAATGGCGAAGAGCTATGTTCCAAACAGGAGAGGAAGTGGCCGTCAGCTGTGAAGTGAGCTAGATACAGGATTGTAGGTGATCGATCCATGCCACTCAGTGGATATTTGCACACAATAGCGGAGTGGTAACGTATACCTGGTCATGTGACTGCGGTGAGATGTGCACAGGAGTGTTGAAGAGCTGGCCATTAGCCGGTGTAATAAGCCGTAGTAGAGGACTGGAATGAAGCTGGCCAGGGTTCTCTGTGGCGACGTTTTGAATGGGACCTCAGGGAAGCTGACCAGAAAGCTCTGTGATAAACCACAACACAGGACTACTTGAGCTATTCATGGGACTCTGTGGTGGGTCCGTGTGGGGCTAGGAAGCTGGCCATTGAAGTGTGCGGTGTGCTAGCCATTGAATTGTGCGGTGTACTGACCATTGAATTGTAAGGTGTGCTGGCCATTGAACTGGGCGATAAGCTCCATTGTATTTGTTACTAGCGACATGCGATGAGCTGCATAAGCATCTTGGTTGTGGGCTAACTGGGTCTTCAACGGTAGTTTGGCATGTAGAGGACATGCGACATAGGCAGTGCCCAGTGATATAAATTTAGTTTTCATTCGCAGGTGTTACGAAGGTGGCTGATGTAACCGAAGAAATTTTCGAGAAATCAGAGCGCTCACAGCTTTAATGCAAGAGATCCAAGAACCATGACCAACTGATGATGCTTCTACATCTGCAGCACGCAAACGTCTATTTTAGGGATTTGCACATCCTTACTGTTAAACAAATTTATGAGATATCAAGGACTGTGACGCTGCGATGAAGACATGCATCATATTTTACAGAACGAGCCACTGGGCACAAGGATCGCTGGTACAAAACGGGATAATGGTATGCTATTTGTCAGCTCAGTTGTGGTATGCTGTGGACTGGATCTGTGAACTACCAGGCAATAGGATGTGCCTGATACGCAGTCCTGCTTGTTTATCAATGCTGTGTTTTATAGGTACCACGGAGGTGGCGAGTGGTAACTGGAAAAGCTCTAGGGATATCGGAGCGATCACAGGTGTACCACATTGGGGCTAAAAGAGCATTGAAAAGGGCCGGACATCCTGCATGTAATTGCTCAGGAATGTGTTGTGAGCATGGACGACATGCTGTCACGTAGTTCAAAACACACCTGGACAGTGGTGCCGCGAGCAGGAACGATGGTGTGTACTATGAAATGGTGAAATGGCATTTCATTCGTCAATAAATAGGGACCAGTGTCCACAACACTGAAAAGGCATTTCCAAAAAGATCCAAGCGCGGCTTCAGATTTTACTTGCATTTTGCTTGGTGGTAACCCTCGGCGAATAAATGACGAAGGTGAGATCCATTTTGCAAAAGCGCTTATAGCCTATGGCCTTGGGGAAAGTTAAACTCAATAATAATGAGATAACTCACGAATTTACCGGTGATATAGAAAAAGACGGTAACAAAATAAAGAGAAACTGGAACTACAGGTTGAGCCACACCTTAGTCATTAAAGACGCTGATCTTTGAAATGCAATTCAGCGGGCCAATACGGGGAGAGTCAGAGCGTCAATTCTTGCCGTCGTTAATGAGGGAAATCCATATATAAAGATTGGCAATGTCAGCCTCAGCGTCGGCGAGCTGGGTTAGGGGGCCGCTTAAAATATTTCCCTTAATGCATTATTAGATAATATCGCCCCTGATTCCAGCATGTCCTACGTGGCGTTTCCCAAACACTTCTCTTTGTTTAGAAAACAAAACAGTAATGTGTCGTTTGTTATACGCTTGAACCCATTCTGGAGTAGTGAGTTGCACGGCCTTATTCGCCTTTATGCGTCATGCAGGGACGTCAGTTTATTCGCTTTCGTGTCCTGGGCCGGTCCTCCTAATGGTGATATGACCCCTCCCCCCAACTCAAAGAGAGTACTGATCAGAGAACTGCAGACTCTATTTATCATTGGTACACCAGGTACCAAGACGCATCACCATTATTATGATGCCCGTGTGTCATCAAAGGACGTTATTCACGCATCTAATGATATTGTCATGCAAACTCATGGATTTGTTAGGTCAGTCTGCGAATGTTTTACCAACATTTCACGTGACAACGCGTGGACTGTTAAAAAGAACAGTTGACTGCGATATGAACGGCTGTTCAAAAGTGATAACTAACTCTTCTTTCTGCCCTGACATGCATTTCAGAGATTTTCCAGATGCGATTCTCATCCACACCAATCGGACGTGCATAGTTATCGCTTTGGTGGCTTTGACAAGGTCAGCCCTTGTAATGTCAAGCAAAGTCAAGCTTAAGTCTTCGTAAAAATAAGTCCTTTGAAGGCCACACAACTTAAACCTTCATAGTACATATCTGGCAGCTTTGGAAGGGATTTCTAACGTTGTTTCACTGTTTTCAATATCGATGTGGTTTTAGTTTTCCATATAACCGCAAAGTCTAATACCATAACAGTTTTCACACTGACCTGGCGTGAAATCATAGGTAACATGCGTCAATGTCAATTAGTGCCCCTCTGGTATAATTTTGCATGTGGCGTTCAACACCGTCATGCGCATAGTCAAAGCATGCTGACTTCTTGAGGTAACAGGAAAGGGTGCATTAAGTGTTATTTTGACGATAGTGACGTCATTTGACCTGTCGAAGGCACCACTTACTATCATTGAGACTAATTGCACAAAAACAGCATTGTGTGCTCCGTTTAATCTGAAGGTGGATCAGCGCTACCCCGATCACCAAGCTCCAGAGTAATAAAACAAGTTGGTTTTGACATTGGTGTGAGCTTCATACTTGACCTCAGATGAATAGAGCTTGTTAATTCAATTTTGTGTTGCATAAGAAACTGTGTCAGAGATGTATGGCTTGGTCTAACACTCCGTTGTTGCGTTAGCTTTAACAATTCGCTATAATCTGTCTTCGCTGAACCATGGCTTGACTTAGACCTGCCCTAGGCCAGCGACCTTACATGGTGTATTAAAATTTTGGGTGTCCAACGATCCGCTATTTAATTGCATACAGCTGAGCACGATTTGGCACGACTACGCCGTGTCCTTCGAGATTAATTCCGGAATAACCTTCGGCGAGTCAAATTGACCCGCACCCGAACATGTGTTTAGGCACGAACACGCTCCTGGTCTCTGCAGCACAAGAAACGCATATATCCGTCTAGGCGCCGCAGCAGTGCAGACACTTCAGGAACATATATTCTTGAGTTACACCGCACACTCAACGTGTTACACGTCACGTCTTCTCCTTGTGTGCATCAAACAACCCAGCTCACCTTGATCTAGGTGGTTACCACTCTTCTCGATCTTTGATCCTCGATCCTCGGCCCTCGATCCAGTTCACGTCAGGTTGATCCAGTTCAGTTGCCAGGCCTCCGCGACCAAATGTCCCTGTGCCCTGGGTGCACCGGATCATAAACCGCCACTGGCACCGCTCGTGATAGAGCCACAAACAAGACGGCGCTGAATGTAAACAAAGCGGCAGAACAGCGAGGATGCTCTGCAGTGCATCAAGCTGCGGACATAGGGGCACACACCGTCTGACCGTCCCCCAACCAGTAGCAAATTTATACACCGAGACGCTGCAGGTGAGAACACCTGAGACACACCATGTATTTGCCGGAAGCGAGCCCACGTTTTCATGCAGAACAGTGGTGTACCCAGTGGTTCGCATGTGCCGCGTTCTGCAACTCTGCATAAATGTGATAGAGCAACGATGACGGCTTTTAGGTTCAGGTGTTGAATTCTAACTGTGCTATCTCCTTTTCATTCGTTTCCTTGTTATGTATTCAGAACTGTCCTGCGCTATCATTCGTAATCCCACCAGTTACTATGCCCGTCAGTTGTTATCAGACGTGATTACAGTTGGCATCGTTGTCACGTCACATCATGTTGAGCATTTACGCGGAATAAATGAGCACAATGAATAATTTGATAGAAATGTTAATAACAGTCAGTGTTTGCGTCGTTGTCACGTACGGTTGGCATCGTTGTCACGTACAATTGGCATCGTTGTCACGTCACGCCGTGTTTAGCATTTAGACCGATTAAAAGAGTACAATGAATAATTTGATAGTAAGGTTAATGACGGCCAGTGTTAAAAGCTATTTTGGTGCGGTAACGACTTTCAACATACCAGGAGGTAGTGATGAAACGACATTGCAGTGCTAAATAGTGACCATCTGAACGGTACTCAATGTCTTCCGCCGCACTCAGCCTCAGGATTGAGAAGGGTTCAGACAGACTCAGCTAAATATTAACTGGAAAAATAAGACACCTCAGTCCAGAAAACCTACCCAGTTTGTGCAAGCACTGTCACTAAAAGACATCAAAGGAATATAAGGCATCCGAGCCCCAATATCCCGCATGCAGTGCAACGTTAAAGGCTGCCAAAAAGACAAATCAACACAGGTAGCTAAGCCAGAAGTCTCCAAAGTGACAAACAGGGTCTTAGGTCAGGACCTTGCTTACCGCGCATCGGTCACCATAAACACTGCCTTGAAGAACATGGACGTTGCTAGCCTAAAAACAGTGTCCTAGGAATTGCCGATTTTGTGTGTAAAGCAACACCTTATGAGGAGGAATTTTTCACTCCTTTTCCCCATATTTTATGTGAATTTTTCACTCCTGCCTGGCATTGTCTAATCGCACATGCAAAACCCCTATTTCACTTTCTGAGGTTTTCAGATGTCATCCAAAACCGAGCTCACTTGAAACCACCAAGCATGAACGAGGCTTCACAGAACCTAGACACCTATGGCTATGTCCTGCCTCACCTACATCTGAATCATGTCTATGTATACACAGAGCAAGTGCGCCAGGTACCTCCATGCCCAAGAACCCCAGCGACCCCAGCCGCTTGCACGCATTAAGTTTAGCTTGTTTACAAAATGCATCAAAATCTGCAGCTGTGCGCCAAATGCAAGGTTTCCACGAATCCCCTACTTTTTGGTCTCACCACCACATCATGAAAGTAGATCCTGGTGCAAACACGAGCAAGGCCTGGTAGATAATCTTACTCCACGTACTTATTTTTTCCAGAGGAAATCTGACAATTGAATTGCATCACTCCCTAAATGCATGAGTGAAAAGTTCAAGAAATGTCTTATCAATTAAACTTACGAGATGAATATCACCATTTGGACACTTATTTTAACAGATTTTAAGTCAAATCAGCTGATGACAAAATTTTGCGAGAAAAGTACTAGTCTTTATATTTATGTAGCCACTTTTTCTTGGTAGTATACCAGTGTGATGCCACTTTATTCTTCCTTCGTTTTCGATTGTCTTTAGAGATACCATCTGGTGCTTAAAATTTTGACCAATTTCTTTGCAGGATGCTCGAACTGCAAAATTGTGTTTATTTTATACATAAACTGGATTAATTCGCCAGCCGCCCAAACATGTCTGATGTGCACCCAAGAGTGAACAATTCGCAGGAGTGAAGGAGACAATTTGAAGCACGGAACTTATTTTTGCCGTCATTTTTGCCCTGTTAAACCCTCGGTTAACCGTTTTCTTGGTTCATGGCGGTGCTCAATAACGATAAATCTAAGCATTTCGAGTGTCTAACTCACCAGGCTACCTGACAAGGCTATCCTACTGCTGCCATACCGAGCTTTGGGACAGACCTGACGCAGCTAATACAGAAGTATTTGATGGTGAAATTCTGCCCTCTGGAGATGTTTATCATGCACACCTCTTACTTGTTCCACATTTTTATCTCGTGGGTTGCTGGGCATGATTGATATTGATGTTTGGGGAGTGAGGCGGACGACTCTGTCTGCTAGCAGACCATGCAAAAGGTACTGAATTTTTGTTTTAGGAAGAAGCCAGTAAGTCTCCTGTGGACCAAGTAGTTGCTTACCTGTCGTGCTTTCAACGCATGATGGGTAACCAGAGTCATCCATTTTTTTCTTTTAATGCATGGAGTTTTTCCACAAGACAAATTATGATGCCACAAGGAATGCAATGAGCTTATTTTGTTTCATATTTTTGGTTACTTGCCTGAAGTTTCTTAAAGTGGTCCCTTATGGATGCTTTAACCACATGTTTTCTATAGTTGTCATGGTTTGCTGACCGGCAAATGACTGTACTGTATAAATGCACTACATTTTTAACACAGGGGCACTCTAAGCTGCATAGCAATTATGATATGAGTTAAATATTGGCATGCAACAAACAGACCGCCCCATTTAAAATGTCAAGCCAACATCTCAAACTTTGTCATTAAATATGAATAAACAAGCCCAAATGGATGCATGTGCTGCAGCTGAAAAGGCAAGCAGCAATACTGGCACGATCATCTAAAAGTTGTGTTATTTTTGGAGAAGAGAGATTGTTTTGTGGAGCATTCCCATTATTGCCCTTGACATAGGTTAAACATGACAACCGAAATAAGTTGTTCAAGGTGATTTGAAGTGTTTTATGTGTTGTCAGCTTTTTCTGATGTCAACAAACATACACAAATGAACTGAATAAAAATGCAAGTTGGAACCGGCCAAAAACTAGCTTTAAATATCATATTTTTCACAAGTGCTGCTGTCAACAGACACGTGAGTTGAAAGGATGTTCATCATAGGGGCTACTCTAAGTTAGGTTAAGTTGGTCAAGTGCATGGCAAGTGGCAATAGGAATTGTGCAAGAATCAGTAACTGACAACTGCTGCTGCGATACCAACAAGTTGTACAGGATGAGATGATGTAAGGCCTACTTAGGTTAGTCATGGGCTGCTTTCATAGAAATAGGCATTGGTACTTTGTAAGAAACAGTGACAAAATGTTTGTTTTCCCTGACCCCATCTTAACAGAAGCCAGAAGTATGTCGATTGTATTTGACTTGGTGATGGGCTGATGTGTAGGAGTCCAAAGTTTTTTTGTTTGGGTTTTTTATACTTGTTTAATTGTCTGTTGTTATTTTGTTTATTGAACTCCTTCCATTTGTTTTGTTTTAAAAGTGCTGTGGAAGGGAATTGAAAAGTGCAGCCTCAAATTATTGGTGTTAATAATTTGTAATGCTCATAATACTGTCATGCAATTACTATGTTTTAACACGCTCCCGGTTGGCTGCCTAGATATCCTTCCCTCCGGTGTGAGGGGGGGGGGGGGTCAGTTGGACCCCAAACCCCCTCTGAGATCTCGGGAACTAAGAAAGCTAGAGACACCAAATTCACAGGGTATCTTGACCTATACGTGAACTCACTCAGGTTATGGCTTTAGCTTCCTGGGTTATGGCCTTCAGGTCGAATAAAGTCAAACAACGTCATATTCCAGGTTGTCTCCAAAGCGCCCCCAGAACCTGGGCAACTGTCTCTAAGGACAAGTTCACAAGCCTATTTGAGGTCATTGACCTTGTTTGACCCTTTGAAGGTCATGGTGACCAAAAGATACAAGACTGATCTGCGTTTTACATTTGAATAAGCGACTAAGATTACACTAGGCAGTATGTTCCTGAAACAAAACGTTCGACCCGGGTCATCTTAGGTCAATGGCCTGTTCTGACCTCTAAGAAGTTAATTGAAGATGTATAATGCGGTTCCCGTTGTCAATAAATTTGGAATGAGCACCAGAAACTGTCCCATACAGCAAGCCTTAGAGTAATAAATCAGGTTGGTATCGACCTTGGTCTGACCATCATACCTTACCTTAGATTAACGTCTTCCCTAGAAATTGGTCTCGGGGCGTCAAATTGACCCCCCCCCCCCCCCGACCCCAGCGTGTGTTAATGTAATCTGTTTCACTTTAATAGCCTAAGATGTTAAAAACCAAATGGTTTTGCCAGGTTCCTGATATTACGTTCATGCCAACTTGAAATGGATGTCTTTGCTGCTGAAGCACCACTCGCGAGCTGATAAGTTCCATCTTTTTTTAATTGATTTTTTCACTCCCGCATGGTCTTTTTGCGATGCAATTTGTCACTCCCACCCTATTTCAAAAGCGATTCTTCCTCCGTGCCTAAAAGTCCTGTTTGAACAAGGTCCTATGATGAGGTTTGCACGCTCAGCCTCGGGCGAATGTTACGAAAATGCACCGATGCTATAATTATGTGGTCCGTATTGTCTTTACGTGTTGCTAAAATATGGGCTTATTTCATCATATCTGATGCTCAGTTTGGTATTTTCAATGGTGGAACTTTCCCTTTAAGGGGAGGTACGCGGAAACCGTAGTCAAGTTGGGGAGGGCAAAAAACTGGATGCCAAAATGGGGCCTGTAAGATTAGCAGGTGAACATCCTAAAAGTGCAAATAGGCCTTTTGCAATAATAAATGGAGCCTCTGCATGTCAGAATGGCCCCCCAAGTGTAAGAATGGGCTGTATGCAGGACGAAATAGTTTTCTCCATAGCCAGTAATGGACTTCTAAAGGCTAGAATAGACCGACTGCAGGCTAGAGTCAAATCTCTGCAGATCACAATGGGCCCTCTACGGGCCGGAATGGGACCTTTACAAACCATAATAGGCGCTCTACAGACTAGAATGGGGTCTCTGCAGGTCACCATGGACTCTCCGCAGTCGAAGGCACTTATATGGTCAAATTAGGCTCTCTTTATGCTAGATGGCTCTCTAGATACTACACGCATGTTACATGGCTAGAATGGACCCTCCACAACCAACAACGGCTCATCTACAAGTCAGACTGGGAACTCTGCAGTCAATAATGGACACTATTCAAGCCTGACTGGGCCCCCGGCGGTGAAAAGTGACTTTCCTGTCACCGACGAAATTTGAAACCGTCTTAATCGTCATCTGGAGTCAAATCTTTCAGCAACCGACGCAATGTGGTTTTAAATGCACTGTATGACAAACACAAAAACAACGGAAATGCAATGAGGCATAACCACCAAATATCTGGCTTCGGGACTACAATTGCACCAAAGCGTCGTTATCTGGCCATCAAAAATGCGTAATGGTTGAGACTAAAGTAATAAAATCATAAGACAAAGGCATACCTAACATAACCAGCCTACACGCACATGGTTTTCTATTCAGTTGAGGCGGGGGGGGGGGGGGGGAAGGATTGTTTCTTCTCTTGAGCGATGTTTTTTTTTGCTCTCATTTTCAATTCCTTATTTTTCTATAATACAAATTGTTCACGGTTTTGTCCTTTCCCCAAACCACTTTTGAACAACTACAGCCTTTGCTTCCGACGCTGAAACAGAAAGTCTGCTAAATCAGGGAAAAAACATTTCTAAGTGCATTTTCAACGCGCGCTTACTCATTTTCTTCCTGCAACCCACTGCTCCTCACAGCTACGTATCTTGCAAAACTGCATCCCCTTATCCCTACATTTGGCGATAACATTGTTCTACAAGCACCTGAAAACAATATCACTTTTGGTTTTGTCACGCCATCATAAAACCACCTGGAAGAGTCGGCGACCTTCACTATCTTCGCATAATCATCGATGGCGCAGAACCCGCGCTTCCCATCGTGCTCCCAATTGATTAGTGCGAAACCTATGCAACATTGGCATCAGCAGATGCAAACGACATTTTTGAACACGTCACCCAATTTTATTTAGCTCGATATACAACACGACGACAAAAAAGAGCGTTTTTTCTCACGCCTGTCCGCTGGTTGGGACGCTAAGTCTAAGGTGTGGCATGGACGTGAGAGGCCCGCACCAACAATGCTTGGCATTTGTTTTTTTCAAAGCCGCTGTTCCTCTCAGCGGCAGAAAGCCCCGGATGAATCCTTCACACGTGCTGCTCCAAATTCCCCCGCGGTGCCCTGGGGCTACTGTTCGGGTATCCCCATAAAACAAGCTTCCTAGATTGGTAGGGTTTTTTTAACCGCATTGCTAGGGCGCTTTGTTTGGAAGATCCTTGGAAAAGTCGCACAGTGCCTTAAAGGGAGCGTTCCACATTTCCATGCGGTTTTGAACTGAAACAGACATTTTGAAGACCTTTTGATTCACTTTACGGCCATGCCCTTTTTAAAACCTACGGGCCTCTGGTTTTCTAGCTTGAAGGCCGCAAAGATGTGGGGGAGCAATTCGGGGACGTATATAAAGGTCACTTTGGCAGTCATGAAGTCATAATAACGTCATTAAAGTCCTGCCAGTTAATAAGCCACGCTGTGATCTCGACCAAGCAAAATGTAATGGCCCGGTCGTTCATGTCTGGCGTTCGTGAGCACTATCGCCAAATATTTGGTGTTCGCATTCGGGTTTAGTGACGTCACGTGTGGGCAGCCGATCCTGCCGTTCGATGTGCCGATTAGGGCAACCTTGTCTGTGAGTGTGGATGCGCCAAGTCGGCGCAGTGCGCACGCGTCCGGAGAAGAATAGATCGTTTGATTGGTTTGACCGTGTGTGCCAACGAACCAAGAACTTGACAACATATAGCGGTTGTCTAGTGGCTCTCAATGAATGCGTAATCAAAGAATAACATTTTTAGGAGCATGTTTATCAGAAATATTGTGTTGCCTGTAGCGGTTTTTCTACCTTAACGTACACAACAGATGTAAGTGAGCTGATGTTATTATATCTGATGATTACTTCAATATCTTGGAAAGTGAAGCATTCCCTTTAAATTAAAACTAAGAAGCTTTTTACGTTTTCCAGTCAGTCAGCATTTCAGGACATGAACACAACCGACAGCACACAGCCTTAGTCTGTTGTTAGCTGTTTCCTGCCAGCATTTTGCTAGTAACAGTTCCCTTTTTCACCAATCATATCCGGTAAATAGGAAATTTCTCTTAACCCCGGTGTTCCCTTTGCATGCCAGAATGGAGTTTTTCATTCGGTAAAATACCTTCTACAGATCATTAATGACCCTCTACAGGGAAAGATATGCCATCTTCAGGCCGACTTGTCGCTCAACGATGATACATGATTATCTACATGCCAGAATGAGCCCTCTTCAACCTAAGTGACCAATCTAGGTACAACCAATCTATGATGATGAACACGTACGGCGATAATGGACTCTATGGACCTGAAGAACCCCTCTAAAGACCAGAGTGAGTAACGTTCAGGGCAGAATGGGCTCTCAACAGCCAATGATGGATCATCTATTAGTTTTAACGGGCACGGGGATAAACTGCTTCCATGTTGTTTCCAAACAGTCTAAGGGTTCTTGGAAGCCAAAGATAATGGACCCGATTAAGGTGCACAAAGAGCCGCAAGGGTTGGCCAGAGGTCATAATAACCAACTCCGGTCCTGCGGACAGGGACCCTCGAATGTCATTGAGAACGCCTCCTGCACCGATTGCTGGAACGATTCATGGTTCCCATGCTCGCCAGAGTTCGTAACTGGTGATATTGCACCAGAGGCTGATGAGAAGACACTGGTTGTATTGCATCGGATAGGCTCGCAATTCATACAGAACCTGACGTGCCCACTGTTGAATCACTGACGCATACGTCCTGCGCACGCATTCCTGGAAGACATTGGCGAGGTGACCGCCTTCTGGTCGCTCTGGATGTACGTGAGTTGGCGCGTGGGGCGCCGACTTGAACACCATTATGTTGCGTGCTAGTCGTGGTTATTCCTCTCGCAACGATGAATGTGTGGGCGGCGCCGCCGGTCGCCTTTGTCGCTGTGTTGGAACGGCATCGGATTGTGCAACAGGCTTGACTGACATTTTCTCCAACTCGTCGGCTGAGCGAGAGTCGGTCGCCTCAGGGTGACTGGGGGCCGTAACCCGAGGCGCGTCCTATTACGGACTGGTCCTGGCGTGTGCTTCCTTTGTATGACACGGTCAAACACCAGGGGCCCATTAACTGAATGCAAATAAAGACGACATAACGATGTCACCGGTAACTTGCGTTAGGTGGACCCTTTGATTACGCCATGGACCTCGATGGGAGCAGGAACCCTCCGGCAACTGATATACCTCTCTGGTTGCTCAGGTGCCCGCGGGAAACTCAGAGCATGGCTGGAGATCGCGAGGAGTCCCGAAAGAGACCTCTCCCTGTGGGCACGGAAACCCTCAAGGGCTGTTTGTCTTGAACCTTGATTTCCGGGAATATCAAAGCGGGGAATTCAAGGAAGATGTCCGATTTGTCTCCAGATGGCTCCACATAAAGACACTTTTCGGGGTGCGCGAAAGAGAAGTCGCGGTGACAGTGGACAAACTATCATCTTATGAGTACAAACAGGAAACTCATCATGCAGCCATGTGTCTAGAATCTGACCTTTACGCTGATATAAAAGTCAATGACGAATGGGTCGTGTCTGAAGTCATGTGGTTTATGTTTCCCGCGTCCATACCCAATGAATCGGAATGCACAGACAAAGAAATTGGTGTTACCTGTTAGCTTTGCCGCAGTCATGTCTCGCGTGGTCTGCATTGATGACCTTAAGCAGTCGGCCCTGGCCCGTCTGGACAAGAACGCCCTGGGCTACTACAACAGCGGGGCTGACGGAGAGCAGACGCTGAGGGAAAACATCGCCGCGTTCCAACGGTAAGATCAGGGATGAGACTCAGAAATGGACCACTAACAGTCCTCTAGCGGTAAGATCCGCGATGAGAATCAGAAATGGACATTAGTCGTCCGAATGTGGCATGACGCATCCCCCGCGAGAACATGAATCTAGGGAATCTCGTTCCAATGACATACACAATCAGTTAGACAGTTTTGTCTATGGGCATGATCTGTCGGCATAGCAAGGTTTCAGAGTAGGATCACCAAAACTCGAGACATGAAGGGTAAACCTTCAACTTTGTTAACATGCCTGAAATGCGCTACATGGCTGGAAACATCCGTAAAGTTGGTTTAGCCCATAGACAACAATTGACATCGCTCGAGGATAACACTGCGTTGCCCCGCAGGTACCGCCTGCGTCCACGCTGCATGGTGGACATCTCCACCATTGACCTGACCCAGACGGTACTGGGTCACGAGGTCAGCATGCCCATCGGCGTGGCACCGACTGCCATGCAGGCGATGGCGCATCCCGAGGGCGAGTGCGCGACCGCCAGAGGTATGTGGCGCTGGCCCACCGTCGTCAAGTCGGAGGTACCAGTGCCACATATCCAGGGCACCAGCAAACTTCCCGGTCAGAGCACGTGCTGACCCAAGCACGGAAGATCCAACATCCGGTGCCTTGAGCACATGTTGCGTGAGAATAAGAGGTGACCCCGCCGTTACTTGCACCAACTTAAGGAATCGGAAGCAAGCAATGTGAGAATGAACGGCTAGGAAACTGGGTTGCTGCACTGTCGTGTTCTTGACGAAGCGGTTTTCCTTCGTCTCTACGCAATATGATCGACTTGCTTCGAAATCAACCTGGCTAGTGTTTCACGGTATATTAGGCTCTAATGTTCATGCAATGAAGGCATATGTTTTCCAAGCCACTGACTGAATCGTTCCACATACCGCGCGACCATGCCTAGAAGCTCGTGGGAAGACTTAAGCTGTCAAACAACAGGACTGTCGATTGGATTCCCTGTTCACCTTCCGTTGCTCTTCAGCGGCGGAGGAGATGGGGGCTGTGTTCGTCCTGAGCAGCGTGTCCAACAAGAGCATAGAGGAGGTGGCGGACGCAGCGCCACGTGCGATCAAGTGGTTCCAGCTGTACATCCTCAAGGATAGGTTTGTTTGTGTCAGGCAGTACTGACTTACCCTGTCCTTACGCTGGCTGAACGCGACCAAGCCAACGATTCCACGCAACGCCACTTCAGTGGACTCATGGCAGGCTTTCAATGAAATATAGCTTACGGATAAATGCGTCCGTTTCCGCATAACCAGGAGGGGTTGTCCAAATGTTTTCCCCGTCCAGGTCGATGACAGTGAGGATGGTGCAGCGGGCGGAGCAGGCCGGCTTCTCGGCCATCGTGCTCACCGTGGACGCTCAGCTCTTCGGCAGGAAGCTAGCCGACGCTAGGAACGGATTTCAGAGGCCTTCCCACCTCAGGTGATACATGTCGTTTCAACTAATCGCGTACACAAAGCTCGGAGTGGAATAGATAAGAGGAGTTTGTCAGAGGTGGCAGTTGACCTTGGCACCAACAAGAAGCTGGAGCAATATAGCGCCGTTCGATTATCAATGTTAACCCTCACATCATACGACGAACATCGGAAAAAGTCACCATTAGTCAGTGTGAAGTCGGCATTGCTGTTTGGCTTGGCGTTGTATCACGTCCCATTGCGATTTGCTGGATCTCTCAGAGTGGGCAACTTCACATCGGACACCGACCAGGCGGCCCATCGAGGAGACGACGACTACCTGCAGGCCTTGTTCGACCCGTCGCTAACGTGGGACGACCTCAGCTGGCTGTACAGCGTCACTCGGCTGCCGGTGCTTGTCAAGGGCGTGATGACGCCAGAGGACGCCGTCGCCGCCGCCGACCGCGGCGCCAGCGGCGTCATCGTCTCCAACCACGGCGGCCGCCAGCTGGACGGTTGTATTGCGACGGTGGACGCGCTGGGCCCGGTGGTGGCCGCCGTCGGCCACCGCTGTCCCGTCTTCATGGACGGCGGCGTGCGGCGCGGCACCGACGCACTCAAGGCGCTGGCACTGGGCGCGCGCATGGTGTTCGTGGGTCGGCCGCTGCTCTGGGGCCTGGCGCACGACGGACAGCGCGGCGCCCGGCTGGTGCTGCAGCTGCTGCACAGCGAGCTCCGACTGGCCATGGGACTCTGCGGTAAGCTATAGCACGGTACTGGAGGAGAGCTCATCACGGGACTCTGTAATGAGCTTTAGCACCGCATTGGGGGGAGCCGGCTATGTTAATCTGCGATGAGCTGTAGCAGAGCGGTGCAGGGGAGCTGGCCATGAGACATTGGTAATCTATCGCACAGAAATGGAGGGGAGGTAGCCATGGGACTCTGCAGGGGACTATAGCACGTGACTGGAGCTGACTATGGGACTTTGGGTATATGGAGCTCGTGGGAGCCACAGGTTCAATGGCACTTATGTTCGAAACAGGAGAGGAAGTGGCTGTGAGCTGTGAAGTGAGCTAGATACAGGACTGGAGGTGATCGATCCATGCCACTCAGTGGATATTTGCACACAATAGCGGAGTGGTAGCGTGTAGCTGGTCATGTAACTGCGGTGAGATGTGCACGGAAGTGTTGACGAGTTGGCCATTTGTCTGTGTAATAAGTCGTAGTAGAGGACTGGAATGAAGCTGGACAGGGTTCTCTGTGGCGACGTTCTGAATGGGACCTCAGGGAAGCTGACCAGAGGGCTCTGTGATAAACCACAACACAGGACTACTTGAGCTATGCATGGGACTCTGTGGTGAGTCGCGTGTGGGGCTAGAAAGCTGGCCATTGAAATGTGCGGAGTGCTAGCCATTGAATTGTGCGGTGCACTGGCCATTTAATTGTGAGGTGTGCTGGCCATTGAAGTGGGCGATAAGCTCCATTCTATGTGGTTACTAGCGACGTGCGATGGGCTGCATAAGCATCTTGGTTGTGGGCTACCTGGGACCTCATCGGTAGTTTGGCATGTAACTGGATGTGCGCCATAGACGGTGCCCAGTGATGAAAATGCAGTTTTCATTCCCAGGTGTTACGAAGGTGGCTGATGTAACCGAAGAAATTTTCGAGAAATCAGAACGCTCACAGCTTTAATGCAAGAGACCCAAGAACCATGACCAACTGATGATGCTTCTACATCTGTAGCACGCAAACGTCTATTTTAGGGATTTGCACATCCTTGCTGTTAAACAAATTTATGAGAGAACAAGGACTGTGACGCTGCGATGAAGACCTAAATCATATTTTACAGAACGAGTCACTGGGCACGAGGGTGGCTGGTATGCAAAGGGATAATGGTATGCTCTTTGTCAGCCCAGTTGTGGTATGCCGTGGACTGGAGCTATGAACTAGCAGGCAATAGGATGTGCCTGATACGCAGTCCTCCGTGTTTATCAACGCTGTGTTTTAGAGGTACCACGGAGGTGGCGAGTGGTAACTGGAAAAGTTCTAGGGATATCCGACCGATCACAGGTGTACCACAAGGGGCTAAAAGAGCATTGAAAAGGGCCGAACACCCTGCAGATAATTGCTTAAGAATGTGTTGTGAGCATGGACTGTATGCCGTCACGTAGTTAAAAAACGCACTTTGACAGTGGTGCCGCGAGGAGGAACGATGATGGGTACTGTGGAATGGGGAAATGACATTTCATTCGTCAATAAATAGGGAGCAATGTTCACAACACTGGAAAAGCACTTCCATAAAGCCCCAAGCGCGGCCTCAGATTTCACTTTTCACGCGAAAGCGTTTTTCGTCCAGGGCCAAGCGAAATGTAAACTGAGCAATAATGAGGATAACTCCCGAATTTTCCTGTGACATTAAAAAGACGGTAACAAAAGAAAGACCAACTGAAACTACAGGTTGAGCCACACAATTGTCATGAAAGACGTTTATCTTTGAAATGCAGTTCAGGGTGCAAATGCGGCCAAAGTCAGAGCGTCCATGCTTACTGTCGATTAATGAGGGAAATCGGCATATAAAAATTGGCAATGTCAGCCCCAGTGTCGGACGTGCTGGGTTAGGGGGCCGCTTAAAATATTTCCCTTCATGCATTATGGGATAATATCGCCCCTGATTCCAGCATGTTCTACATGGCGTTTCCCAAACACTTTTTTGTTTGTTTAGAAAGCAAAACAATAATGTGTCGTTTGTTTTACATTAAAATCCATTCTGGAGTAGTGATTTGCGTGGCCTTATTCGCCCTTGTGCGTCGTGCGGGGATGTCAGTTTATACACTTTCGTGTCCTGTGCCGGTCCCCCTGATGCCGATTTGACCCCCTCCCCCCCCCAAAGAGAGTACCGATTAGAGAAATGCAGACTCAATTTATCATTGGTACACCAGGTACCAATACGCATCACTATCATTATCATGCCCGTGTTGCATCAAATGACGTTCTTTAGGCATCTAATGTTATTGCCATGCAAACTTTTTCATATGTTAAGTCAGCCTGCGGATGTTTTACTAATCTTTCACAGGGCGACACGTAGACTGGTATAAAGAACAGTTGACTGCGTTATGAACGCCTGTTAAAAAGTGATAATTAACTCTTCTTTATGCCCTGAAATGCATTTCAAAGAGATTTTCCAGATGCGATTCTCATCCACACCAATCGGACGTGCATGATTATCGCTTTGGCGGCTTTGACAAGGTCAGCCCTTCTAAGGTCCAGCTAGGTCAAATGTAAACAAAAGTCCTTTTTTGAAGGCCACACGACTAAAACCCTAATAGTACATATCTGGCAGTTTTGGAAGGGATTTCTAACGTTGTTTCACTGTTTTCAATATCGATGTGGTTTTTGTTTTCCATATAGCCGGAAAGGCTAATACCATAACAGTTTTCACACTGACCTGGCGTGCAATCATAGGTAACATGCGTCGATGTCAATTAGTGCCCCTCTGGTATAATTTTGCATGTGGCGTTCAACGCCGTCGTGCGTATAGTCCAAGCATGCTGACTTCTCGAGGTAACAGGAAAGGTGCATTAAGTGTTATTTTGACGGTAGTGACGTTATTTGACCTGTCAAAGGTACCACCCACTATCATTGAGACAAATTACAACAAACAGCATTTCGTGATCTATTAATCTGAAATTGGATCAGCACTACCCCAAATACCAAGCTCCAGAGTAATAAAACAGGTTGGTTTTGACCTTGGTGTGAGCTTCAAACTTGACCCTAGTTGAATAGAGCTTGTTAATTCAATTTTTGTGTTGCATAGGAAACTGTATCAGAGATGTATGGCTTCGCCTAACACTCCATTGTTGCATTAGATTCAACAATTCGCTGTAAACTGTCTCCGCTGAACGATGGCTTGAATTAGATCTGCACTAGGGCACTGACCTTAAAACGTGTATTAACATTTTTGGTGCTCAACGCTCCGCTATTTAATTGTCTACAGCTAAGAACGATCTGGCACGACTACACCGTGGCCTTCGAGATCATTTCTGGAATAACCTTCGGCGGGTTCAATTGACCCGCACCCGAAAACGTGTTTAGGCACGGACACGCCCCTGGTCTCTGCAACTAACGAAACGCATATATCCGTCTAGGCGCCGCAGCAGTGCATACACTTCGGAACATATATTCATGAGTTACAGCGCACACTCAACGTGTTACACGTCACCTCTTCTCCTTGTGTGCATCAAACAACCCCGTTCACCTCGATCTAGGTGGTTACCACTCCTTTGGATCTTTGGTCCTCGATCCTCGGCTCTCAATCCAGTTCAAGTCAGGTCGATCCAGTTCAGTTGCCAGGCCTTTGCGACCATATGTCCCTGTGCCCTGGGTGCACCTGATCATAAACCGCCACTGGTGCCGCTCGTGATAGAGCCACAAACAATACGGCGCTGAATGTAAACAAAGCTGCAAAACAGCGAGGTGTTCTACAGTGCATCACGTTGCGGCCGTCGGGGCACGCTCCATCTGACCGTCGCCCAACCAGAGGTCAAGGTATGTACCGAAACGCTGCAGATGAGGGCACTTGGGACACACCATGTATTTACCGGAAACAATCCCACATCTTCATGCAGATCAGTGGTCTACCCAGTGGTTCGTATGTGTCGCGTTCTACAACTCTGCAAAAATGTGAGACAGTAACGATGAGGGCTGTTAGGTTCAGGTGTTGAACCTTAACTGTGCTATCTCCTTTTCATTCGTATCCGTGTTATGTACACAGAAGTGTCCTGTGCTATCATTCGTAATCCCGCCAGTTAATAGGCCCGTCAGTTGTTATCAGGCATGATTACAGTACGCATCGATGTCACGTCACAGCATGTTCAGCATTTACACCCAATTAATGAGCACAATGAACAATTTGATAGTAGTGTTCATAACACCCGGTGTTTGCATCCTTGTCACGCACAGTTGGCATCGTTGTCACGTCACACCGATTAAATGAGCACGATAAATAATTTGATAGCAGTGTTAAGAACAGTCAGTGCTAAAAGCTATGATGGTGAGTGAACGACTTTGAACATACCACGAGGTAGTGATCAAACGACATTGCAGTGCCAGATAATGAGTATTTTGACGGTACCCAATGTCTCGCGCCACGGTCATCCTCAAGAGTGAGAAAGGTTCAGACAGACTCAGTAAAATATCAAACTGGACCTTGCTTACCGCGCAACAGTCACCATGAACACTGCCTTGAACAACCTGGACGTGCCTAGCTTAAAAATGCTGTTCGAACTAGGTCCTATGATGAGGATTGCATGCTCAGCATCGGGTGAATATTACGAAGCTGCAACGATCATAAGATTGTGTGGTCCGCATTGTCTTTACCTGTTGCAAAAATCTGACCTTATTTCATCGCATCTGATGATCGTTTCGATATTTTCAATGGTGGAACTTTCCCTTTAGGGGGGGGGGGGCGGAAACCACGCTTAAGTTGGGGAGATAAAAAACTGGATGTCAAAATGGAACCTGTAAGATTAGAAGGTGAACCTCCTATAAGCCAAAATATGCCTTTTGCAATCATTAATGGGGCCTCTTTAGGAGAGAATGGCCCCTCAAGATTCAGAATGGGCTATGCAGGACAAAATAGTTTCTCAATAGTCGGAAATGGACTTCTAAAGGTTAGAATGGACCCACTGCAGGTTAGATTCAAATCTGTACAGGTCACAATGGGCCCTCTACGGGCTAGGATGGCCTCTTTACAAACCATAATAGGCACTCTACAGACTAGAATGGGGCCTCTGCAGGTCACCATGGACTCTCCGCAGTCAAAAGCATTCCTAAGGTCAAAATAGGCCCTCTACCTGCTAGATGGCTCCCTAGATGCTACATGCATCTTACATGGCTGGAATGGACCCTCCGCAAACAACAACGGCTCTTCTACAAGTCATAATGGGCACTGTGCAGTCAATAATGAACACTATTCAGGCCTGAATGGGGCCTCGGCGGTGAAAAGTGCCTTACCTGTAACCGACGAAATTTGGAACCATCTTAATCGTCATCTGGAGCCAATTCTTTCAGCAACCGACGCAATATAATTTTAACAGCACCGTGCCAAAAACACAAAAACAACTGAAATGTAATGCGGAAAAATCACCAAACATCTCGTTTCGGGGGTTCATTTGCACCAAAGCGTCGTTTTCTGGCCATCAAAGATGCATGATGGCTGAGACCAAACTAATAAAGTTATAAGATAAAGGCATACCTAACATAACCAGCCTACACGCATATGGTTTTCTATTCAGTTGAAGCGGGGGGGGGGGGGGAGTATTGTTTCTCCTATTGAGCGATGTGTTTTTTTTTGTTCTAATTTTTAATTCTTTGTTTTTCTGTAGTCGGTGCACCGTTTGCATTTCTAGTTTGATTTAGTGCTCACTTCTCGTTTGTTGAGTCACTTAGCTTGCGATTATCTTGAGGTCTAATTTAGCGTCAGTCAATCCATGCTATTTTGGTATTCATTTTGCATTCTTATTTTAGTCTCTGTTCTGTCTGTTTCCGCTCTGTTAAGTTCTAGGTCTAGTCTGTCCATTTCCGAGGTTTCGTTGTTTCCCTGTCAGCGTCCACGAGGAGTTGAAGCGCGGTGTTGGCGATGGGCGGTCATCAAATATAGTGCACCTAAAACCTCGGTGTCTTCGACGTGGCGGCCGTTTACAACTGGTGGCAGAGGTGGGATGGAGGGCCCACGTCGCAACTACTGCCGCGTCCCGCTGTCACTCACTGGCATTGCTCGTGACGCATTCGATAGCTTGCCCACTCAACAGGCTGCCACCTTCGAGACGGCTGCTGCAGGGTTGAGAGGTGCTCTCGGTGCTAAGACCGTGACAGAGCATCACCTCGCCTTGCGTGAGTTGAGCTTTACTGTGGGCGAGAGTCTCGATGAGTTTGTCATCAGATTTAGAAAGCTGATGGCTATGGCTTTCCCTACCCTCACCGATACGGGCTCACTGATGTCCAGCCATTTCCTGGCCACCTTGCCCGCTGACTTACATGCCGCTGTTATTGCGGACGGTACTTCGTCCTTTGACGGCGCCATCACTAAAGTGCGTAACCTGATTGCTTTACAGGCATATCTGGAGCAGTATCAGCCGAGTGTCCGCCGTCTCGACTGTGACGGTGAACTGGCTGTGTTGACGAGGAGGGTGATGAGCTTAGAGGCCGCAGTTCAGGCAGCCTCTCGTCCCGGTGGCACTTCTGCCGGTCAGAGAGACCGCGGCTCGCGGTTATGTCTGTGCTGCGGTGGGCAGAATCATGTCCGCGATCGCTGCAGAATGCGGAACCGGAAGTGCTTCAAATGTAACT